GCTGTGGGAGCTGGAGGTGGGGGATTTCTCTGATCTGGGACCTGGACGGTTTGACTCTTTCTAGTGGGAAGGTGTCGTCGGGTGCCAGGGCTTTACAGGAGGAGCAGAGTGCAGAGAGCCCAAGTTTGCCATGGACAGGGGTGTGCTGGCCCCATAAGGTGGCTCAGTGTGTGTACTTTCCTGGAGTCCTGGGTGGCCATGCAACCTGCAGGGACAGGTCAGGGCACCCTCTCTCCCACCTTTCCCAGCCACATCTGGGACCTGGGTTTTGCCATCTGATGATACTGGTCTCACATCCCTGTGGTGAAACCTTGAGTCAAGGACTCAAGTCAGTTGCCTAAACTCTTCATCTGTAAAATGGGACGGTTTGAACATGAAGCGTGTAATGTATATAAAGAGCATAGCACAGTCCTGGCTCCTGGTAAGGGCTCCAGAAACCAGAGTTGTTATGATGGTCGTTTCTGGGTGGAGAGTCTAGGGTTTAGGGGGCTCTGATGCCAACTTTCCATTTTGACTTGATGTGTGACCTTGGGCAAGTCATTTCCCCTTTCTGAGACTGATCATCTTGTCTAAGATGGGAGTAGGGATGAGCCCTGCATTACAGGGTTTCTGGAAGTTTTCATCATTTAATGACATGTGTGTGCATACATGCTAAGTCGCTTCATTAGTGTCTGACTCTTTGCGACCCCAAGGACCGTAGCTCACCGGGTTCTTCTGTCCATGGGATTCTCCAGGCAAGAACAGTTGAAGAGCTTATAAATCCTGGCGCACTTGCTCCTCTCGGTGTGTGTCAGGCTGGTCAGCTCAGGCCCGGTCCACCCCAGCCTCTTGGGACCTATTCATGTTTCCTCATGGGGGCTGTGTGCCTGGAGGCTCAGCTGATGCCCTTGGATGAACTGACCTGCCTTTTTCACTCCCATCCCACTAGACCTGCTACAGGCCTCCCCGTGGTGGGTGTGCAAGAAATATCCCACAGCCCATGACTCGTGTGCAAATCACACATTTGGAGGACTCAGCATTCACGGTTTCTCTTTTGTTGTTCCTGTAAGATTAGACTTGTTCAACTAGAAGGCCTAGGTTTAGATTGAGAAAATAAGGCCACCTAGTAGACAGAGTAGGACAAGTGTTAACTGAGCCCATTTTTCCGCTGAAGCAACTGAGGATCAGAGTGGTTAGGTGAATTTCCCAAGGCACACAGCTAACAACAGTGAGATCTGGACTGAGCCCCCAGGTCTCCTCATCAGCACAGCGCTCTCTCTTTTCTCAGGCAGCTGCTTCCTCTGCCCTTTGAGGCCTTTTGCTGTGTTATAATAGATGGGGAGCCTAGGAGGTGGAGAGACCCTGCTCTGTGTCCTTGGCTGTGTCCTTGGCTGTCCTTGGCTCTCTTGGAACCTCAGATCCCATCTGGAAAATGGGCAGAGCAGAACCTCTCTGGATGGATGTTGTGAGGTTGGCTGAGTGCCCTGTGGGAAAGGTGCAAAGTGGGTCGTCAGCACAGTCGGCTTCACGGCACCAGGGTCTCCAGCTTGATAGGGCAACATTCAGCATTTCTTAAGTCCTGGTACTTGTTGGAAGCATTTCTGTTTCTTACTTTTGTTCTCCAACCCATCCTTTCTCTCCCAGCACTGGCACACAGCTCTTTATTGAATGAATGAATGACAGGGAGGCTTTGCTCATGGGCACAGGAAAGAGACTGTCCAGCACACCATTTCCTATCTCCAAGCACTGAGTTTCCAATCTAGTGGGGAGACCATCCAACAGGCAACTAGGACTATGCGTGAGCCTAATCTCTGGAAAAGTCAAGGAAGGCTTCCTGGAGGGAGTGACATCCAAGCTGACACCTGAAGAATGAGCAGGAGTTTGCTGCTTTGGTGGTGAGATTGGTTTTCCACGCTGAGGGCAAAGGCTTCAGGGTCCTTTTAGCACAATAACCATGTTACTACAGGTGAGAAGGGTCTAGAAGTTGGGGGAGTTGGGTGTCAGTCCTGACTCAGCCTTTTATAGGCTCTGTGTCTGGGGATGTCTCCCCCTACCCCAAGATGGTCCCTTAGATTCCTCAATCTGGATTGGGATCTTATTTAAAGAATACCATCGAAAACAACCTGAAAAATCAATATAGCCTTTTATTGAAGGATAAAATGTCAAAAGTAACATTTAAAAAAAAACACTGTACATAGTGTTATTTTTAGAGAGCTCTCATGTGTTCCCCAGTGTGCAAATCAATATATGCAAGGGTGTTAGGCCACCGAAGGATAATGAAAAATAGGACAAAAGGAAAATAGGTTTCACTCCAACTCTATTCTGGAATATGATACAGTCAAGAGAGAGGACACAGATCACAATGTACCAACTTGGAGAGACAGCCATTCTGCTTAGTGACATTTCAGAACAATTTTTGTATTGCCATCTTATTTTCATAACATAAAAATATGAGTGAATTGAATAGCCAGATATGTTTCTACATTCACAGAAAAAGGTTTTGCTGAATATTCATCAAAATAATAATGACAGAGATGAATTATGGGGGACAAGACTTGGTAGAAATGGAAAAGTGAGGTTGGGTTGAGTTTTTGTTTTTATTACACACCTCTGTATTGTTTAGTTTTATTTTTCAAAGAATGTGTATTATGATTTTATGATAAATTTAATAATAACATAAAAGGGATCTGCAGAAAACCTTTTTTAAAAGTTCCATGTATTTATTTGTATAATTATATATGACATATAGCTTTTTTATTATATGATTTTCCTTAATAATAAAAATAATGCATGTTTATTGAGAACAACCAAGTAGAGTATAAAAAAAATAAAGCCACCCTTAATCTTATTATATAGTATGACCACTGTTAACATATTAAGGAATATATTTTTATTTATAGTTATAAATAAATTATAAAGAAAATATTTATAATTATAATTTATAAAAATTATAAATCAGTATCAGTATCATGTATGATATATATTTTATATATATAAAAGACATGTGTATGTATTTATATGACATATAGAAAGATACATACACACAAATGTATATATATATATACACGTATTTGTAAGCTGCTTTTTCTCTTAACATATATCTTGAGTGTCTACCTATGTCATAGACTTATATAACATGGTTTTTGAAGGCTCTGCAATAGCTAATATATAAAAGTCCTGATGTTTATTTAATTCCTATTACTGGACATTTGTATTGTTTACTTTCTCATTTTTTGTTATTAAAAATAAATCTGTGGTAAGTATTTTTGCAGAAATACTTTTTTCATACCTTTATTTCCTTTAAGTAAAATTATTTGAATCAACAGTTATGGCCATTCTAAATACCAAAAGCCTTTTTAGAAAATGAAATAACCCCTACCCCAATCTAGTTCCAATAAATCTGATTGTTGATTAGCTGAATATACTTAAAAAGGGCACCCGAGTGGTTTATTACCACTTTCAGCTTCAGAGTTTTTGTTTTTGTTGACCGCACCGTTCAGCCTGCAGGATCTTAGTTCCCTGATCTGGGGGAAAAAACCCGAACCACTGCCCTGGGAATGCTGAGTCTTAACCACTGGACCACCAGGAAAGTCCCAGGATCAGGGTTTTTTTTTATTCTGGAATGGACACTCCAGGTCAGTGAGGGAGGGGCCCAGGCAATCTCAGAGGACAAATTTGAGATAACACTGCAACACACTTTTTTGATTTACTGAGTGTCCAGAGCTCTCCTAGGATGACTTGTTTGTCTAGTGATCTGGACCCGGTGGTGGGAGGTTCTGAAGAGCCGTGGCCACTGGCCCTGTTTTAGCGATGAGGAGCCTGAAGTTGTGTGAAATGTGGGGATGGGTCCAGGAGTGGTTAGCCTCGGCCTGGCAAAAAGAGGCAGGTTAGCAGAGGCATCTGGACAGGGATCAGCCTTGGCCTGGGGTGGAGGGTGGGCGTAGCCCGGAGCCCCCAACCCAGTCCAGACCCATGTGGAGCCCTCACCTAGGTTTGCATTCTAGCAGATCCCCAAGTTTCAGAATGGGTTCCACATCCTTAATTCTTTAAGCTCTGCTGAGGGCAGGGCATGTTGGTTTGACCCTCTGAGATGAACTGGAAGTATTTACTGGACCTGTATGTGGTGGTGATGGTGATGGTGTTAAAGGTTTCTACTTACCCAGGGCCTGCACAGCACCAGTTATTCTAAGTACTCATTACCATTTGTTTTTTTAATTTGAGTATGCCATCATCACTGATATGGAAGATGATTTGAGGTGACTTACAGATGAACATCTTTATCTCAATAACTATGTGTTTGTTTTAGTTTATATTAATTTAATACTCTAGAAAACAGATAATTAGCACACCAAACTCATAATTTGTGAGAATTTTATAAAATATTATTTTTAAATTATTTAAACTGTTGAGTTGATTTAAAGGAAAAATATTAATACTTGACACTTGTATTGATATTTACCAGGAAGGTGGAATTTAATGTGCTTATCATTATTATTATTATTATTATTATTATTATTATTATTATTACCGGCTGCATTGCACAGCATGTGGGATCTTAGTTCCCCGACCAGGGATCAAAACCATATCCCCTGAGGTGGAAGTGTAGCATCTTAATCACTGGACCACTAGGGAAGCCCCAGGAAGGTGGAATTTAAACAGTTGACGTTTGGGACCATTAGAGACAGGTACCATTATTATTCCTATCTTTCAGTGGAGAGAGGAGAGGAGAAAGTGGAAGCCAAGAGTTTCATTAACGGCAGAGCTCAGACTTGAACTCAGACGCTTAGTTTACAAATTGTTCTATTTAAATATAGGACACACCCAGAAAAGTGCAGATACACACGCACAGCTTCACAAACTGAACACGCCCATGTCACCAGCACCCAGATCAAGAAACACAACCTGACCGGTACCCAGAGGCCCCTGTCTTGTGCTTCATTGTCACCCACCCCTCCCCACCCAGGTATCCACCATCCTGACCTCCATCATCATAGTTTGGTTTTGTCTGTTCTTGGACTTGATCTCAGTGGTATCACACAGTCTGGACTTCTTTGTGTCTGGCTTTTTTCACTCGTCATTACGCTCAGGAGATCCATCGGTGTTACTGTGTTATGGCGGAAGTTCTTTGCTGCTGTATGAGGAGGGTTCCGTTGTGTGATGGGAACAGTCTATTCACCCATTCTGCAGTGATGGGCATTTGGGTCATCCTACAAAGTCCACTTTATTTTTACTCTTGAAGCTCTGCTGCCACCCACAGATACCTGCACATAAAAGAGCAGACAGGACTTTCTCTAAAGAGCTAGAGACCAAGGCAGGGTGTGAAACACACAAACCCACAATTACAAAGGCAGGTGCTTTCCTAATTGCAGAGCAGCCTTGAGGTGGCCTGGGTGGTCAGTGGTTTGGACAACTGCAGTGCTTCTCCTGCGGCATGGCACTTTCTAAAGCACTTTTCCCAGCAGCATCTCAAGCCCCTTCAGATGTGGAGGTTGGGGGTAGGAGGGGCTGCCCCCATACTATAAACCAGGAAACCAAGGCTAAGGGAAGTGACTTCAACAGCCCAGGGGGAAAAAGCAACAACCAGGATCTGAACTCACATCTCCAGATACTAAGTTCTTGGCTATTTGTACCTCCTTCTGGCTGCCTGGTGAATCCAGGGGGCCTTGCCAGGCCATGGAGACCCTCAAGAGCCTGGGGATTCCAGCTGCCTTCTGAGAAAGAGTTCAAGCCAAAACCAGTTCCTGACATTTTGGAGTGAAAGCTGCTCTCCTTTGAGTCTCAATTTTTTTCATTTGCAAAACAGGGGGAGGGTTCCTACTCCACCCCCCCACACCCCCTCCACCCCCCCACATCCAGGGGAGTGTTGTGGTGGCTATGCATGATCAATAACAACTTCTGACTGTCAATCCCCCCAGAGCTGAACTTTCACATTCATTGCTGTAGCTGAGCTCTAACCACCATGGGGAGGAAGGCAGCACAGATAACATTGGCCCCATTTTTAGTGACACACCCCTAGTCACTTGGCAGGTTAAAGAACTGATGGGGATCCAGGGTTCCTGACTATCAGCCCAGCAGGATACCCCTACCCTTGCTACACTGGGCCTGTCCACTGGAGGAGGCCTGCTTTTGGATGAACCGACACACTGCCCCCTCCCCAATATTCCAGAAGGGAAAGTGTTTGTGAGACTCTGGATCTCCCTGTCAGAACCAGCATGCAAACTGTGAAGTTCCCTTGATTATGTGCCAGGATTGCTCTGCTAGGTTGTCAGAAGCTGGAAAGTAAAACGTGTCCCCGTGGCCTGTAAGCCATAACCCGTTGGCACTCGCTCAGGGGAAGCGGGGTGCAGGGAAGCCGCTGGCCTGGGCTGTTGTCTGTGGAGGCGGGGACCTGCCTGGGAGGGGGGCAAGCTCAGGGCCTTGGTGTCCCTCTGAGGTTGTTCTGCTCAGCGGGCAGGGCTGGCCCTGGTCCTTGATAAGACAGGCAGGGTGGGGAGGAAGGTGCTAGCATGACACTGGGCCCGTGCACCCAGGGTGAGGGCTGGGCGGGGTGTGGGAAGGAGTTGGGGGGGTGGCGGAAGGAAGTTGGAGCTGGTCCTGCCCCCACTCTCACCCTCAGCCAGGCCCTGGCCCAAGGCTTCCTCCCCCAGGAAGCCCTCCTTGGTTTCCACTCTGCAGTGAGGTATGGGCTGCCCCATCTCCCTCCATGTTCTTTTCTCTTCTGAGCTCCCTTCCGACTTCCCTTCTCTGATGAGGAGCTAGGGCAGAAAAGCTAAAAGTCTAAAATTCAGTAATCCTGAGGCTCTGCTAAAGGTAGAGCCACCGTGGCCACAGGTTGAATTGTGAGGTTCCAGGTCAAGTCCTGCTAGTAGATTGGTGGAAGGAAGAGGAGATTGAAAACATGCTTGAGGATTTCTCAAGAGGGCTCCCCTGGTCAACCGGTGTCATTCCAGTACCTGGGTCCCTCAAGAGCGTGGCTGCATGCTGGGGCTGGAGACTGATGCTGGGGCCTGGGTGTCAGGGAGCTGAGGGACATGGGACTGTCATCTCTGAAGGTGGGATCTTTCAGCCCAAGGACCCTCCCCAGCACTCAAAGAGCTGCTTTTTGGGAACCCTGTTACCCACTGACCCCAGATCATGAGTGAATCTAAAAGGGGCACTTTTAGGGCCTGAGGACCTTTCTTTGTTCTGCCCATGGTTAAGGGGACCCTGGGAGAGGAGATGAGCCTCCTCAGAGGCAGCCAGAATGACACCAGTCAGGATGGGTGGTCAGGCTGCAGAACTGAGGGTGGAGGCCCTGACTAGTAACTCACCGAGCCTGCTAGGCCTCCAGCTGGGTTTTCCTCTGTGGCTGCCCATGGTGGGGGCAACTGTCTAGGTTCACCCTGAGCCCCAGGTGGTGCCTGACCCAACTCCGGGGTCCAGTTTGTGCTTCAGGGTTCCATGAGCTACCTGATGTCATGTGTGTTCACGTGTGCATTTGTTTAGGGAGAAGGCACATACCTTCATTCTGAGTCTCCGTGCCTCACTGGCACCTCAGAAGGCCCTAGAACCTCAGAGACTGGACGAGGCCATGCAGCGTGGAAGTGTGGTCTATTGTTTGGGTGGTTGGCTGGGCCTTGCTGCAGAGAATGCACCTTCTCCCCCTCCGAGGAAACTGCTGCATGGGGACCCGGGCTTTGTGCTATTTGTCTGGGTTCTGCAAGTGATCAACTGTTCTGCCAGAGGCTACAGCTCGCCTGCACTTCCCTTGGCTCCCGAGTCCTACCATGAGGAGCCTCTGGCCTGGTGCTGGCTGCTGGGGCTGGAGGTGATATGAACCCCTTTGTACAGAGAAGGAGACTGAGGCCCCCAGGTCAAGTGACCCACACAGACCACAAGGCCAGTGTGGGAAGACGTCTGGGACTTCCACTCTGGGTCCCAGGCCTTTTCATCCCCTTGTTTTCCAAGCTCTTGGGCCTTCTCTGTTGCTATGGCAACAGCAGAACAAAGGCTGGTGGGAGTTCCTATTTACTAGCACTTTTGTTGCATCATCGGCCATTTCATTGACTGCCCTGCAACCCTACAAGCCCAGCATCTTTTTCTTTTTTAATTGAAGTACAGTTAATTTACATGTTGTGTTAAATTTCTGCTGTACTGCAAAGTGATTCAGTTACACACACATATATTATTTTTCATAGTCTTTTCCATTATAGTTTATTAAAAGATATTGAATAGAGTTCTCTGTGCTATACAGTAGGTCCCTGTTGTTTATTTTAAATACAGTACTATGTATCTGTTGTTAATCCCAAACTCCCTAAATTGATCCTCACTTTCCTCTTTGCTAACCATAACTTTGTTTTCTATGTCTGAGTCTGTTTCTGTTTTGTAGATAAGCTCACTTATATCATATTTTAGATCCCACATATAAGTGATGTAATGTAATATCTGTCTGTATCTGTCTGAACTTACTTCACTTGGTATGATCATGTTGAGGTCCTTCCATGCTGCTACAAACGGCAAGCCGAGGATCTTCACCCCCCTCTAGGGCCGCAGCCTGTGGACGGATAAGCTGGTTCAGGTCCTGTGATCGGACCCCCGAGCCCCTCCATTTTCTCCGCCTCTCTATGCATCACCAGCGGCTTCTCACACGCCAGTCGACAGCCCACTCATTTCAAGCAACAGTCTAAATTCAGCGCCTCAGAAGTGTGCTGGGCCGAGCAGATCTGACTCTGAGCCCCAGCGGTCCCTTCCTTTTGGTTGAAAAAGAGACTTCTCAGGCTTTGTCTGAGGCCCTGGGGAGTTGAAGCAGCTTGGAAATCAGAAGAGGGAATCAGACAGAGCAGAGAGAGGAGTGGCCCCGCCCCAGCTGGAAGAAGGTGTTTGTTCCCTGTTACATCCTGAACTTTTTGAAGTTAAATGTTTCTCTTTTGTTCCCCAGGGGTGTGGCCTGGGGCCTGGGGCCTGGGGCTTTAGGAAGGCTTGCAATGAAGAGGCGTTTTGGGGGGTGGGGATGGCTATTCCCCAGTCCTCAGAGGAAATAAATCTCTTTGTGACAGAAATGAGATGGATTTGTTGTCAGCGATGTGAACCGTGAAGCTCAAGTTCCTCTCCTATCTCCTCTGATAGTGAAAAACTCTGATGTTTAATGGGAAGCTTAGAAAACAAAAAGGGACGGCTTTCCAGTCCAGGTAACCTGCCACCATTACCCCAGAGCGTTGGCAGCAGTCCCGTGGGGCGAGGGGAAAGGAGGCAGTAAGGGCTGCTTCCTGCAAACCCCCACTTGCAGGCCCGGCAAAGTGAGCACCTCTCGGGGTCTCCGGGGTTGCTGTACTGCCCTCCCCCTAACCCTCAGCCCCTAGCCCTTAGTGCTTTCTGTCTGACCCACTTTCCCTCCCCAGCCCAGCATCAGAGAGCTTAGTTTTCTTTTCTGAACTGCCCTTTTTCGGATTAGAAAAGAATAATTAATACTCGCTCATAACCCCCTGTGTGAAAATCAGAAGATACCTAAAATATATATTTTTAAAAATGTAAATCACCCCAGAATCTCATCACCCAGAGATCCTCATGGACCCCCCCCCCCCCGGGCTCTAGCCATCCTGGAAATGCTTCACTTACATGTCCCTGGCCACCTGGCTTAAACCTGATCTCTATAGCACAGTCAGTTAAGCTTATTTCAGCTTTGCTTTTTGTTTTTAAAGCATATATATTATTCTAAAGATTGCATGCTCACTTGAAAAACTTTGGAAAGCACAGAGGGTATTTTCATGCTTCTTTCAACAGAGAGAGGAAACACATAACCGCATCTCCCCAAAGTTTAGTTTGGAATAGCTTCTTTTTGTCTTTTTGGAGTTTTGAAAAAAGCGTATATTTAAAGTCTATCTTTCCACAGTTGAGAGCATATTCGATAGAGGATTCTAGGTCTTGGTGTGACCTGCAATAGTGTGAATAAACATTGCCTGTGTTGATAAAAGGAGTAGCTCCTCTATGGTCTGCGTGTGCTCAGACTTTGGCTAGCTCTTTGCAAAGCGACATCTCGCTTAATTTTCTCACCACCTTACGAGGCAGGGCTGCTGTTAGTTTCACAGGTGAGGACACTGAGGTGACCTTGTCTGAAGTTGAAGAGCTAGTCCTGCTTTGACTCTGAGGTCCGTGCTCTTAATCGCTGGGTTGGGTCTCTTCCTCTGAATTTTTCAATAACTTTTCTAGTTCTGTGTGAAAGCCACAAACGACCTGTTAGTGCTTCAGAAGTTGCCGAACAGCACAAAGAATATTAAGAATCCCATCACCCCGTGATATTTATTTCCAATATATGACAGCATTTTATGCATATATAGTCCTGTTTTTTTCAATTAACTTATTTATTTTGTATTGCACTGGGCCTTCATTGCTGCACTGGGGTTTTCTCTAGTTGTGGCGAGCAGGGCAACTCTGCATTGTGGTACGTGGGCTTTGGTAGTTGCAGCCTGCGGGCTCAGCAGTTGTGGCACACAGGTTTAGTTGCTCCTTGGCATCTTCCCGGACCAAGGATAGAACCCATGTCCCCTGCTTTGGCTGGTGGTTTCTTATTCGCTGTGCCACCTGGGAAGTCCTAGACCCTCTCTCTTTATAGTTATGTCATCCTCACAGGTTAGTTTTGAAAAAAATTTTTTAAACAGCCTAATCTTATCTCATAGGTAGTTCCCAAGTAGACCTTTTTGTAAAAAAAAAAAATTTTATTAGTGATTTATGAGTTAGAGTGAATGTAATCACTTCCCGGAGACTGGGTTCTCTTTCTGAATGTAAAATCACTCAGGGATATGTAAGCTTCTGCGTAAAACTGTTTCTGTATTTCAGTTTTTTCTCTTTTATTTAAAAATTCTTTCAGCTGCACCTTGATGCATGTGGTACCTTAGTTCCCCGACCCGTGCCCCCTACAGTGGAAGCACAGAGTCCTAACCACTGGACTGCCAGGGAGATCCTTGCTTCTGTGTTTATGATGATTTCTTTAGAATATGTCCCCAGAAACTGAATTACTGAGCCAAGAGTTTTTACAGCCCTAAATTCCTGTTGCCAAATTATTTTACAGATGGCCAGTCACTCTGCATTCTTCAATTAGCAGCATCTGATTTACTTCTAATTAGATGAGCATAAAATGCTACCTTGGTTTAATTTGCATTCTTTTTTAAAGAATGAAGTTTTTAAACTGTGTTTGTTAGTCATTTGCATGTCTTCTTTTGTGGAAAGTATGAGCACTTTGCAATCAGAATTTTTGTGATGATCGAAATGCTCTGTATCTACACTGTTTAATGGGTTTCCAACCAGCCAAATGCGGCTCTTGAGTCTTGGAAATGTGACTAGTTTGAGTGAGAAACAATTTTTAGCTTGGGTTAAATTTAGATTGAATTAATTTACTTAACTCTTTAATTTATTGTTATTGATTGTTGTTCAGTTGCTAAGTTAGGTCCAGCTCTTTGCAGCCCCATGGACTGCAGCATGCCAGGCTTTTCTGTCCTTCACTATCTCCCAGAGTTTGCTCAAATTCTCGTCCACTGAGTCAGTGATGCCATCCAGCCAACTCATCCTCTGTAGCCCCCTTCTCCTCCCACCCTCAATCTTTCCCAGCATCGGGGTCTTTAATTCACATTAAATTCATTCAATCCTAAAATTCAACAGCCACATGTAGTTGATGACTACCATATTGGATAACCCAGGTCTAAGTCTTTCCCTGATTATGTATTGGGTGTGTTATATTGATTTGCATGAGCTCTTTATATATTATGGCTATTTATCTTTTGTCATATTTGTTGCAGATATTTTCCCCAGGTTGCAATTTGACCTTTACTTTTTTGTTCTCACTGTTTATAGGGTATCAAGACATTCAGTTGCCTGATCTCGTGATCTTTTCTTTTGTGGTTTCTCCCATAGCTTTAGGCTTAGAAAGTCCTCCCCCTCACCAAGGTTTGATAAATATGCTCATCAACTTTATTCAAGTCTTTCTGTGATTTTTTTTCTTTAGTTCTTTAATCCACCCAGAATTAATTTTGCTGTGTGGTATGAGGTACGGCATGTCTTAGTCATCTCTATGCCCGCCGTAGAATATGTACTCAATACATTTTATCTCAGATGAGACACTTTAGTGCCTGCAGGTTAGGTGGGTGGGTGGGGAGGAGTGGGTAAGCAGGATGAAATGAAATAGAGGATAAAATACCACTACTTAAAACAATGATATGTTTTTAAGTTGTGATATTTATTAAGATTTTAATAATGGAAGAAGAGGACTCTGATACAATGTTATTTTCAAGGAAAGATAGAAAATCATATGGACAATATAATACCAACTATGTTTTTAAAATGCAGTGAAAATATTGGAAGAAGCATGTCAAAATAATAGTAATAATTGTCTCTGGGTGGTTGGCATTTTTTTTTTCCTGCTTCTTAACCTATCTATACTTCCCCCGTTGCCTAGAATACTTTGATGATCAGAAACATTAAGTACAGCACTTGAAGAAATAATGCCTGATCACTTGATACTTCTAGCTTCCCAAGCCATCATCAACCAAGCCAGCAATTCACATGGCCAAGCTCTGGGTTGAGGGCTGGTGGGCCATGGTAGGGAAGGGTCCCACCTGGCTTTCAGTTCAGGCAAGCTGAGGCTAGACTTCCGTCTCAGCTCACAGCATTTGAGTGTCTCAAGTGATATAAACTGGGGCGGTTTCCTCATCTCTAAAATAAAAAATAATAATGTCTTTGTGTGGGGTCCTGTACAGTTATATTGTTTTGCTGTTAATTACACAGACAAGCACAGTATACATATGTAATATTATATGTAGCATAAAAACATATTCAAAGATGCTAACATAAACATTTTAAAAAGGAACCTTTCTTCATCTCCACCATTCTCCACTGAGACTACCCTATAGATATTACCATGACTTAAAGTTTGGCTCAAATCTTTTTTTTTTTTTAAGAGAAGCTGACATTT